GTTTGTTTGTTTGTTTGTTTGTTTGTTTGTTTGTTTGTTTGTTTGTTTGTTTGTTTGTTTGTTTGTTTGTTTGTTTGTTTGTTTGTTTGTTTGTTTGAGAACCTGAGAATTTTGTGAAAGATTTACCGGTTGCTGACATTTTTATTTAAAAGTACTGTTTATTGAGCTCTGGAAGAATGTAGAAAAAAAGCATTTTCAGCATGGTCATCTTTAACACGTTAAAAATAGTCATGTTTTGTGTTTACAGCTGGAGCCCTGCAGTGTACCACCTGCACAAATCAGGACTGTTCAACCACATCATCACTACCATGTACCTCAGGCGAGACGATGTGTATAACAGCTTCCATTCTAGGTATTTGTCTCTCATGTGTGTAATGCAGCATTTGTGTGAGWAAGTTCTGTTCATTTTAAATGAAAACAAATATATTTTGATTTTGCAGCGGTTTCATCTGGAACACCAGCACAACAGATCTACAAGGCGTGTGCAACATCCTCTCTGTGTCCAGTCACAGGCAATCAGATGTTTTCAGTCAACCTGGGTGTCTCAAGTGCAACTGCATCTGCTCAGTGCTGCAACTCAGACAACTGCAACTCACAAACTCTTAATTGTAAGTTTCATTACACWGATGTAAACAAGATTCCCATCTTCTGTGTTTGTCTCTCATTCACAAAAACGTTTTAATGTTTGTGTATTCTAGTTCCCAGTGCTGGAAGCCCTAACAGTCTGCAGTGTACTGCTTGTAACCCCAGTACTTCTGTCTGCTCCAGTATACCTTGTTCAGGACAGGAGTCTAACTGCTTCTCAGCAACCGGTGAGTTTTTACTTTAAAAACTAGTATTGTTCCAGAGTTTTAACTACCTTTATCTCTGCTGTGATTTGCATACAACCAATTACYCTCTTAGTTACTTTTTAAGATAGGATATTTCACTACAACGTGCCAACAGCTTCTTTTTAGCTACAAAATTTGTTCCTCGAGTGTTCTCTACTTTTGCAACATAATCACAAAACAAATAGTCCTGATGCATCTCAGTAATCCAGGTAAAAAATCAAAAAGAAATAAATTGTATGGATTTTTTATGTTTCGTTAGAGAAGAACCCATCCAGAAGACCTATACAATTTTTATCATTTTCACAAAACAAATACCTTCAGTTTAATATTGATGCACCCATCTGGTTTAGCATGTCTGAGCAGTTTTKTCTTATTTTGTGTGAGAATGCAGCAGAACACAGACATCTGTCAAAAMACTCCACAAAATGTTTTTCATGCAGTGAGCTTCAAGTTTTTTGTGAATTCTTTAAAACAGCATACAATWGTCTGGCAATGTAAAACGGAATCAGAAAGTAATATTATGACATAAAAATATGGCACCTAAACAATAAATAATAATAATAAATAATTCTGGTCATTGAAAGTAAATAAACATTAGTATGAGATTGATGTCAAATATTCTTTCTTTTGAGTTTCATGCAATTTTTTTCTATTCAGAAGTTAAAAGGTGTACGTGAAACGACTAGAATAAAATACTAATTTAGTTGTTTAAAAATAAGTAATGTTTCAAATTAAAACTGAACCTAGTTCTCTTTTCCACAGTGACAAATAATTCTGTAACAACACCGGTGTTTGGCTGCATAACTTCAAATATATGTGCTGCTGCTGGTCARCTTAATACATTACCCTTCATGGACAATGTTGGTAACATCACCAATGGACCAAACTGCTGTGCAACAAGTTTGTGCAACATTCCACTTACAACCACCACATCAACACCAACAACTACAACTTTAGCTACAACTACAACAGTAACTACAGCACCCATAACGCCAACAGTAACCACAACTTCAGCAACAACAACCTCTACTGCAGCAACAACAACCACAACTGCAAAAACAACTACAGCTCCAGCAACAACAACTACAATGCCAACAACAACAATCACAACTTCACCAACAACAATCACAATTCCAACAACAACCTCAACTGCAGCATCAACAACCACAACTGCAAAAACAACTACAGCTCCAGCAACAACAACCACAATGCCAACAACAACTACAACTGCAACAACCACAACTTCAGCAACACCAGGCACCACTCCAACAACGAGCACAACTTCAGGAACAACAACCACAACTCTAGCAACAACTGCAACTTCTGCAACTACCACCACGCCAACAAAAACTACAATTTCTGCAACAACAACCACAACTCCAGTACCAACCACAACTTCAGCAACAACAATCACAACTCCAACAACAACCTCTACTGCAGCAACAACAACCACAACTGCAACAACAACTACAGCTCCAGCAACAACAACCACAATGCCAACAACAACAATCACAACTTCACCAACAACAATCACAATTCCAACAACAACCTCAACTGCGGCATCAACAACCACAACTGCAGAAACAACTACAGCTCCAGCAACAACAACCACAATGCCAACTGCAACAACCACAACTTCAGCAA